AGGCATCATTTCTAAATTCTATTAAATATCAAGCTGGTGATAACAACACCAGTGATTCCAATAAAAAAAATTTATTTTTACGTTATCTCATACTGTCTAGGACAGTCGATTCTAAACAAATATCATCTATATCATCGACTTCTATCGTAGAATTAACAGTTAAAGCACTCGAAAGTACTATTTCGCAAGCGTATTCTTATGCAAGTCGTCTAGTATGTCACGTAAATATGTATCAACAACATCAAATCTTATCACTAAGAAAAATGTCAAAACTGACTATTTTTCAACTACAAAAATCCCGAATAGTCGATTATTCACATCTTAACCAACATGATCCAGACTTTGACTCAGATTCAGATGATAGTAGTGGTGAAGGAGATGAAGATACTACTGAAAACTGCACAGATAATGAATATTCAACTGAGAACGACGAGGATTATGTATCCATAATCATCTTTTCAAAGTTAGTTCGACTACATTTCAAGGAATGTGAGTTTTTGATTCTATTAATCCCACCTTAACCAAGTCGTACTTTATCATTAACATTAAATGGTACAAAAATATATTTACATAAACAGACAGCTGCTTGGCTGCTTTCAAGTGATAAATCTATTTTGTCTTCAGATCGTTTAAAGCGCATTATGAATAAATGATAAAATCTACTAACATTCCAGTTCTTCATATTTGAATCTCATCTTTCCTTTTCGATGAGTTATACAGACTTTTGAAGGGTAATTTTAGGTAACACCAGAAATTTTAATTTGCTTTTATATTTCCTACAAAGAACTTGACAGTAATTTATGTAGTTGTCATCATGTATATACTCTGTTTTCTATGAACAATGACGAGTAAAGTCGTCATCAGAGATCCGACTAAAGTCAATTTCTACCCGAACCGAACCGACCGAACCGAAATCGGTTCGGTTAAAGATTTTTGAAAACTAAATCGGCTCGGTTCGATTCGGTTCGGTTAGAAGCTTTTAAACCGTTTCATTACATTTTTTATTTTTGCGCTGTTTAAAAGAGAACATTGATTAAACAAAACAATACGAAAAAGCTTGTCAGCGCAGCCCCGCTGGTGCTAAAATGTGGAGCTCGAATATTCTGAATCACTTAGATATTGACCAAATCGTGTTTTTTTTATTTTTTAATAGAATAAGTTTCATAATTTGTTCAGGAAAAAGACCGAAAAAAGTAAAGATAGCTGAATAGATGAAAACGTACAATTTCTTTCATTAAAATAACTTATAAGTGTTTCTGAAATTTTCTAATTAGAAAAAAACGTAAACATAAATTACGGTTCGATAGAAGTTTTTTTTTAAGGCTGTTGCCATTTAATAATATTCATAAAAAATATTTCGTATTTCTATTTTTAATCTTGAAGTAAAATAAATATAGAATGAATTTCATATTTAAACATTGTTTTAATATTAATAAATAAAATACATGACTTCTGTAGGTTTTTTTTGATTCCCTCACTTTTGCTATCGCAAAATTAAATTTTTTTTTACTAAATGAATTCTTATTTTTGTTAATACTTTATTCCAATTAATATTTGTGTTATAATTAATGAATTATATATTTATTTCTATATGCAAACATAGTAAATCATCTTTTAAAACAATGTTTAATGTATCTAATATGCATTATAGTAGCATGTACT